ATACCATCTAGATGACATCTTAATATACCATTTAAATGACATCTTAATAAACCATTTAAATGACATCTTAATTTACCATATAGATGACATCTTTGCATACCATCTAGATACCATCTTAATACATCATCTAGATAACATCATGATACACAATCTAGATGACATCATGCTATACAATCTAGATGACATCTTGTTATACCATCTAGATACGAGTGTATAACATTAGGTTTGTGCTGTTATCTGTATTGACATCTGCAGTATCTGTTGTTCCAGCCAGATACTGGAGATAATTGATGTTTACATAATTTCGTTTTAATCATTCGATTAACTATCTGTGTGTGGCGGGGGTGGGGGGGGGGGGGATTTAGCGAACTTCAAACTTCTGATTAGGAAATCTCAATTACTTGTTTTTCAAACTATTTATAAAAGTTGCTTGCTTAAAAAAAATCACGCATAAACATACATTCGTGCGCGAACGCACGCACACACACAATACACACATACACACACACATAATATACACACACATACACACGCGCCCAGGAATAACAGAGTAGCAGCCCCTTTAAAAAAAAGTGAGCGCCCCCCATGTCTAAAGACGCCCACTTAAGGAAATAACGAAAAAATAAGAGTTATTCCTCTTGCTAATAATCTTTCTGATCCCCACTTTTTGACCTGATTCTTCAATAAACTCCTATATCCTCCCCCCCCCCCCCGCCCTGGTTGAGCAAGAATCTCCCCCTCCTACCCCCATCATCCTACTTTTTATTGGTAGGCCACAATAACCCCTCTACTGCCGTGTAATGAGCATTAATTTACCGTAATTATAAAAGTAAGTAAATTTAAATTTTGCCCACGAAAGATTCCCACTCAGCTATGTGTGTGCGCGTAAATGTGTGTGAGTGTGTATGTTTGTGTATGTGTGTCGTCAGTAACGGAAATTTAGCGACTCCGTTTAAACTTAACCTTTAACCTTCTTACACTGGCAGTCGAGGTTGTCGTGACATAAGGGAAATATCAGTGTTGCCAGCAGTGGTTTTATCTTACATCATTCTTCTCCGGGGGGGGGGGAGAGGTGTGAGGGGCACTTGAAACTTACATATCCGGGAAGGGGGAGTCGGATAATGGTGAAAGTAGTAGATATTTTTATTTAAAAAAATATTTGTTAGCTGTGGCGCAACCCCCCCCCCCCCCCCCTCCAAAAAAAAGATGCATAAAAGTGAAAGAAACTCTGGTTGCGAGTCAAACAACTGACGCCAGTTGTTGTTACAGTTATTGACATTAGCTGGAAAACAATTAGTCTTGTTTGAACACTAACAACCTACCCCCCCCCCCCTACCCCGTAAATAAATCCAGGAGTTTAACAAGACTTTTCATCAAGTTGTTTGTAGATGGATAGGCCTACATGCGCAGAAGTAATGGATAATTGATACTAGAACGGAACTGTAGACAAGTACTGACATCACACGATGACGTCATGATGTATTGACGCGGCAATTTACAGTGTTATTGGTGTCTATTTTTAGGACAGTCAATTACGTTTAGTGGGATTTCCAGCAGATCTAGCACTGGTTAAGAGTCGTATAAAAACTGTTCGGCTTTTGATGATCCTTATATTCTTAGTTCCGTCTTTTACTATGCCTAAATGCAACACTAAAATGGCTACCAGCGTCCTTGGTTACCTGTGAGAAAACACAATAGAAACTTAAGAAACAGACACGTTAGGGTAACACAGCATTAAAGAAAAAAAAGGAAGTAAACAAAAAAAACCAAAAACAACCAAGACAGGGTTAGTGCTGGCGGTTCAGCTGAGTTGATCTCACAAGCCGACAATGCAAAGCTCCTTTATCCTACTCACTTGCATCATTGGCTCCTATTATTAAGTGATCGTCCATAAAGGACTTACATGCGAAGTGGGATTCTGACTTTTGTGAGGATGAGATACGTCTATTGGGAAAAGGAAGAAGGGGGTATGGAAATAAGACACAGCTTAATTTTTAAAAACCTTTTTTAGAATGTTAATTTTCGTTGCATAAATAATTTTTCAAAGGAGCTGAAAGTTGTGTTACGTAATTTTAGAGGCTTTTTGTGACGATGTGTGACGATGTGTGACGATGTGTGACGTTGTGTGACAGTAGAATAGTGCTTCTAAATAACATCTTTACGGGAGCCACTAACGACGTGCATACTTGAAATAACAGCATTGGAAAAAAAAATATATAAAAAAACTTATTATAATATGAAAGAAAGTAAAAATTAAAAAAAAAAAGCTTTAAAAAAAAAGTAAAAATTAGAACCAATGTTTTTATTAAAGAAAGCAGGTCTGTTTTATTTTCTTATTTTCAGTGAATTTTAAAACTTTATTTTAAAGTTGTTTTTTTTTTAAATATACTACTTTTTAGTAATTCTCTCTAATTGAAGTCGATCCCAGATATGACTAACAATATTTGCTTTAAAACCCGATGAGTTGCATGCGATCTCTAAAAGACAATTATCCGCCCCTGCTTACTCCAGGATCTCAGGCAAGAAACCAACCAACCGTGACCAAACAATTCACCGCCGAAGGTCAGCTGATAGAGAAATCGCGAATATTTAATCTTGTTATCTCCCCTTTTATTATTGAATTTAGTAATCTTTTAATTAAATCTTAATGACTAACCCTACGTCTAATTATAATTTTTAAAAAAATGATATTCTTGCATTGTCCTCGGAAACGAATGTATCTGGAATGTTAAAGTGAACGAACTTGATGCATTAGAAGTGGGTCAAAATTGAGTTACAAGATTTGCCACAAACCCACAAACATACAAACAAACAGACAGCTAAGAAAAAAAACTTATAAGAAAAGCTTATAAATAAAAATAATAATCTCACGACAATTTTTGTTTGGCTGGCGTATATATTACATCGAGTTCACTTACACAACATCGGATGTCTACAAATGTGTGTAGAAATTGAGCAGAAAATTGTGCACAAAAAAACCCAAAGTGCACAACGCATGTTCCACACTTAAATAGCCCCCCCCCCCCCCCCGCGGTAAAACCGATGTCACAACGCGTCATTATATTTATATTTCTCATCTTTTACTTCATGAGTACACAAAACACTATCATTATCTTGTCTGCAGCCCCACCCCCACCCCCGCCCCCCTCCCACGTGCTACCATAGACTGCTACCATACTATACACAGCAACAGTGCTGGTGATTACAGCCGTGATAATAGACAGAGAAATTGTCTGGTCGATTCTATTTAGATCGAACAGACAGATGTTTACATAGCTGTTACAATATGTGACAATTACAATGTGACAGCTAACGTCAAGAAACGTGACACCCACTGACATCAAATGTGTCACTGAATGTAACGAGTGTAACACCTACTGTCATTCAATGATGGCACAAAATGTGACACCCACTGACACAAAATGTGAAATTTACTGTCACTAATGTGACACATACTGTCATTAAATGTGACAACAACTGTCGAATAATGTAACACCTACTATCACCATTTGTGACATCTTCTGCCATCAAATGTGACACCCACTGACACAAAATATGATATTTACTGTCACCAAATGTGACGCTGAATGTAACGAATGTAACACCTACTCTCATTAAATGTGACACATGATGGCACAAAATGTGACACACACTGATCAAAATGTGACATTTACTGCCAATAATGTGACATTTACTGTCACCAATTATGACATTTACTGTCACCAACTGTGACATCTTCTGTCATCAAATGTGACACCCACTGACACAAAATATGACATTTACTGTCACCAAATATATCACCAACTGATTCCAAATGTAACACCTACTATCGCCAAATGTGACATCTTCTGTCTCCAAAGGGAACACACACGAATTAGTTGTAATATTTTTTCATTAAATGTATAAAGTATTAAATCAACAATTAAAAACTAATTTTATTTCAGGTACCATCCCGTAAAATCGATGCATAAAACTTTTATTATTTCAGGTACCATCCCGTAAAATCAATAAATAAAACTATTTTTATTTCAGGTACCATCCCGTAAAATCGATACATAAAACTTTTATTATTTCAGGTACCATCCCGTAAAATCGATACATAAAACTGTTATTATTTCAGGTACCATCCCGTAAAATCGATAAATAAAACTATTTTTATTTCAGTTACCATCCCGTAAAATCAATAAATAAAACTATTTTTATTTCAGGTACCATCCCGTAAAATCGATAAATAAAACTATTTTTATATCAGGTACCATCCCGTAAAATCGATAAATAAAACTATTTTTATTTCAGGTACCATCCCGTCAAATCGATACATAAAACTATTTTTATATCAGGTACCATCCCGTAAAATCGATAAATAAAACTATTTTTATATCAGGTACCATCCCGTAAAATCGATAAATAAAACTATTTTTATTTCAGGTACCATCCCGTCAAATCGATAAATAAAACTATTTTTATATCAGGTACCATCCCGTAAAATCGATAAATAAAACTATTTTTATATCAGGTACCATCCCGTAAAATCGATAAATAAAACTATTTTTATATCAGGTACCATCCCGTAAAATCGATACATAAAACTATTTTTATATCAGGTACCATCCCGTAAAATCGATAAATAAAACTATTTTTATATCAGGTACCATCCCGTAAAATCGATAAATAAAACTATTTTTATATCAGGTACCATCCCGTAAAATCGATAAATAAAACTATTTTTATATCAGGTACCATCCCGTAAAATCGATAAATAAAACTATTTTTATATCAGGTACCATCCCGTAAAATCGATAAATAAAACTATTTTTATTTCAGGTACCATCCCGTAAAATCGATAAATAAAACTATTTTTATTTCAGGTACCATCCCGTAAAATCGATAAATAAAACTATTTTTATATCAGGTACCATCCCGTAAAATCGATAAATAAAACTATTTTTATATCAGGTACCATCCCGTAAAATCGATAAATAAAACTATTTTTATTTCAGGTATCACCCAGTTGTAGATATGACCAACTGCATCATTAACGGCTACATTGTTGTCGTCTGCTACATGTGCAGCCTATGGACCCTGGTGAGTAAGCTTTTTGTTCTGTGCTATAAATAAACATTCAATAGCGCGAGATTGCAAGGAGGCGGATTTAAATGTAGGTGAATCCCCTAGAATAGAATGTTTTCTTTTATTATGTAAAAAGGAAGTTTGCATACACAGACAAAATGTTCAGCTTTATTTTAATTAACATTAAGGAAGTCCTAAAGTGTTTCTGTAACCCGCCTTTTTAATTCCTTGTTGTGACGTCAATTTAATCAGAAACTGAAGAGACTTTAAAACTTATTCACGAGAAATGAAAGACAAGGAACATTACATCACTCAAACGGGGTTTAGTCCCTTTGTTTTTGTCTGGTACAGTCCCTTTGTTATCTGTTTTAAGAGTACTTATCCCATCACCGATTGTCGGTCATGCTTGAATGGGCAGACCGCTGTGAACTACATTACACCACAGTCGCGCGATTTAGCTCACGAGAATTTACCTGATTCAATGGACATGCGCATTAAGTTAGGAAATTCAGTCAAATGGAAGCTTTTAATGGCGAGGAGATGTTTTTACTGTTAGTCATGGTTCGTTGAGATATTAACGGGAGAGTGAGTTGAGTGTTGTGAAGGGGGGGGGGGGTAGTCCTGGTGAGGGGTGAATGTCCTACTAATGTCCTATTGAGGGGATATTGCTGTCATTTGGGGTGAGCGTCCTGAGTAAGGGTGGATGTCCTAATGGGGTTCATGTCCTAAAAGTTTCTGGGTGTGGATCTACGTTGGAGCTAGGAATGGAGGGGGGGGGGGGGGGATAAATGTGAGAGGTCATTGGTCTAAAAGGGAAATATTTCTTAATGAGGGGTGAATTTCTTAATGATAGGTGAGTATATTGATGAGGGGTGAATTTCTTAATGATAGGTGGGTATATTAATGAGGGGTGAGTTTCTTAATGATAGGTGAGTATATTGATGAGGGGTGAATTTCTTAATGATAGGTGAGTATATTGATGAGGGGTGAATTTCTTAATGATAGGTGGGTATATTAATGAGGGGTGAGTTTCTTAATGATAGGTGAGTATATTGATGAGGGGTGAATTTCTTAATGATAGGTGGGTATATTAATGAGGGGAAAGTTTCTTAATGATAGGTGGGTATAACAATGAGGGGCAAGTTTTTTTAATGATAGGTGGGTATATTAATGAGGGGTGAGTTTCTTAATGATAGGTGGGTATATTAATGAGGGGCAAGTTTCTTAATGATAGGTGGGTATATTAATGAGGGTTGATTTTTTGGTGATGGGGTTTTATTAATGAGGGTTAAGTTTTTTAATGAAGGGTTGGTGTCGCAGTGGGGGAGGGGGGTGACTGTCCCACAAAAAGACATATTAAGGCGAATGGTATTTTATGTGGTACTTAACGTGGTATTTAACGTTACTGACATGTAAAAAAAAACATGTGAGTCAAAAAATTGTTGTGTTTGGTGACTAAAATAGAACAACGTCTGCAATAACAAAACGCCGATTGGGTAGTTGGTGAATGTAAACAAAAGCCTTCTAAGGTCTGTGTGGCGATCTCTGTTAATTTATTTATATGCTGTATTCTGCACTAGTGGCTGTAGAAGAAGGCTAGGAAGTAGCAAAAAATATCAGAAAAAAAATTAGATCAGAAAAACAAAATTTAATCAACCGGCGTAATTATCTCAGGCTATATGAACTAATAAGTTGGGGGAAAAAATAATTGGGGAATGAAAATAAACTGTCAACACGTTTTAGAGTGCATTAGGGGGGGGGTGGAGTTGGTGGTGGTGGGGGAGGGGTGGGGTGGGGGAGGAGTATAGGTGGAAGAGGCAGATATGGGGAGATTGATTATCATGTAACAAATGGTGGCGAAGGGGGGGGGGTTGAAATGAGGGGAGGCAAACACAACATCGACGAATGTTGAAACAAAATGTTGTAATCTAGGTGATAAAAAACAAATAGGCTAGCTCCAAAAAAAGATTGGGAGGGGGGGGGGGGAGGGAAGGAATTAACCAATGACTATTCGGATCAGCTACCATGATGATCACCTTCAGTTTTTACTTGAGATAAAAACAATGTCTGAAGCCCTAAAATTGTTGTTTTCGTGGTAACGTCAAGACGCATTTCAGTTGTGAGACTTTTTTAATAGGGGATATATATATACATATATATATACTAGGCATACTGCCTAGCTTCGCTTAGGTTTTCAAAAAAGTTGAGAAATTGAATGATTAATTAATAGGCGATTGGCTGTTATATTAAATGTCTAAATTTATACAGTGGGGTACTTTTTTAGTACCCATAAATTGATAGAATATTCGCAACTTATTACTCGCAAGGTTATTAGAACTGAAAGGGCTTTCATAAAAATTATCAATCAAATATTATATTAAATTACTTTTGCAATTAATTTTACAATTACAATACAATACAAAACTTAATTTATAACACAATATCCATTTAAAACAATGCTATACTTTATGATTTTTGTTTTTTCTTAAAAAGAGTATACAAAATATTAAAAAATTGTTACATTAAAAAGTTACCTCCCCTGCTCATAGACCAATTGACCAAATTTCGTATAATGAGAATTTCACTCGCAGTCATTTTTAGCCCTCTTCGAGGGCTTTAATGCTGACCAACAGGTTTTCCATACGGCCCATCTATCTATAGAGGTGTATGCAAAAAATTAGCCAGTTATACAAAGAGTAAGTACCCTAAAATTTGCGTAGAAATTACCCAGTTTTCCCCATAAAATACAAAGATTATATAGGGAAATACAACTGGTCAGTTTTGACCCCTTTACGAAGTTTTCCCAGATATGCCGAGTTTTTTGTGACACCCCTAGGTGTTCTTCTACCACCTCACAAAATATCAAGGGGGGTTGTCGGAAGAAATTTTTTTTCGTAATAGAGCTCATATAAAGAGAATTTCACTCGCGGTCAAGTTTTAGCCCTCGTCGAGGGCTTTGAGTGTAACCGACAGTTTTCCCTAAAGGTCAAGCCATTGACCTAGGAGCATGCAAAAAATTAGCCAGATATACTTAGCTTAAGTACCCTAAAGTCTGCGTTGAAATGACCCTCTGTTTTTCCCATAAAATACAAAGATTATATAGGGAAATACAACTGGTCAGTTTTGACCGCTTTACGAAGTTTTCCCAGATATGCCGAGTTTTTTGTGACACCCCTAGGTGTTCTTCTACCACCTCACAAAATATCAAGGGGGGTCGTCGGAGGAAATTTTTTTTCGTAATAGAGCTCATATAAAGAGAATTTCACTCGCGGTCACTTTTTAGCCCTCGTCGAGGGCTTTGAGTGTAACCGACAGTTTTCCCTAAAGGTCAAGCCATTGTCCTAGGAGCATGCAAAAAATTAGCCAGATATACTGAGCTTAAGTACCCTAAAGTCTGCGTTGAAATGACCCTCTGTTTTTCCCATAAAATACAAAGATTATATAGGGAAATACAACTGGTCAGTTTTGACCGCTTTACGAAGTTTTCCCAGATATGCCGAGTTTTTTGTGACACCCCTAGGTGTTCTTCTACCACCTCACAAAATATCAAGGGGGGTCGTCGGAGGAAATTTTTTTTCGTAATAGAGCTCATATAAAGAGAATTTCACTCGCGGTCACTTTTTAGCCCTCGTCGAGGGCTTTGAGTAAGACCGACAGGTCTGCCCTACGGTCAAGCCATTTACCTATAAACATGCCAAACATTAGCCAGATGTAAACAGGGTAAGTGCCCTAAAATCCGTTTTGAAATGACCCTCTGTTTTTCCCATAAAATACAAAGATTATATAGGGAAATACGACTGGTCAGTTTTGACCGCTTTACGAAGTTTTCCCAGATATGCCGAGTTTTTTGTGACACCCCTAGGTGTTCTCCTACCACCTCACAAAATATCAAGGGGGGTCGTCGGAGGAAAAATTTTTTCGTAATAGAGCTCATATAAAGAGAATTTCACTCGCGGTCACTTTTTGGCCCTCGTCGAGGGCTTTGAGTAAGACCGACAGGTCTGCCCTACGGTCAATCCATTTACCTATAAACATGCCAAAAATTAGCCAGATGTAAACAGGGTAAGTGCCCTAAAATCCGTTTTGAAATGACCCTCTGTTTTTCCCATAAAATACAAAGATTATATAGGGAAATACGACTGGTCAGTTTTGACCGCTTTACGAAGTTTTCCCAGATATGCCGAGTTTTTTGTGACACCCCTAGGTGTTCTCCTACCACCTCACAAAATATCAAGGGGGGTCGTCGGAGGAAAATTTTTTTCGTAATAGAGCTCATATAAAGAGAATTTCACTCGCGGTCACTTTTTAGCCCTCGTCGAGGGCTTTGAGTAAGACCGACAGGTCTGCCCTACGGTCAAGCCATTTACCTATAAACATGCCAAAAATTAGCCAGATGTAAACAGGGTAAGTGCCCTAAAATCCGTTTTGAAATGACCCTCTGTTTTTCCCATAAAATACAAAGATTATATAGGGAAATACGACTGGTCAGTTTTGACCCGTTTCCCGATTTTTCCCAGACATGGCGAGTTTTTTGTGACACCCCTAGGTGTTCTCCTACCACCTCACAAAATATCAAGGGGGGTCGTCGGAGGAAAATTTTTTTCGTAATAGAGCTCATATAAAGAGAATTTCACTCGCGGTCACTTTTTAGCCCTCGTCGAGGGCTTTGAGTAAGACCGACAGGTGTGCCCTACGGTCAAGCCATTTACCTATAAACATGCCAAAAATTAGCCAGATGTAAACAGGGTAAGTGCCCTAAAATCCGTTTTGAAATGACCCTCTGTTTTTCCCATAAAATACAAAGATTATATAGGGAAATACGACTGGTCAGTTTTGACCCGTTTCCCGATTTTTCCCAGACATGGCGAGTTTTTTGTGACACCCCTAGGTGTTCTCCTACCACCTCACAAAATATCAAGGGGGGTCGTCGGAGGAAAATTTTTTTCGTAATAGAGCTCATATAAAGAGAATTTCACTCGCGGTCACTTTTTAGCCCTCGTCGAGGGCTTTGAGTA